TGCGGCCAGCAGCGTAGGACCCCGCCGGGGTGGCCCAAGGCAGCTGGTGCAGCCGTATAGGGCTCGGCGTGGCCCTCGGGCACTCATTTCCCTCCAGGAAGGGGCGGCAGTAACGTGGGAGAAGGGGGATTAAAGCCGAAACTGTAAGCACGGCCTCGTGTCGCACCTTTTTTTGGCAAAGATCCCCCTTTTTCTTAGCTGAAAAGCTGGGGGATGAGCCTAAAAAACGAGGAACGGCGGCGCCGTGCCCTTCCCCGCGTCGCTGGCTCGGGCGCTGCCATCCCCGCCGTGTGCCTGGGGCGGGGGCGAGGCGGGGACGGCCCCGGCTCCGCCATGGGATGGTGTGGGGACAGGGACGGGGCTGCTCCCTGCCCGGTGAACCCCCCTCCGCTGCAGCTCAGATCGACACCTTGGTGCATACCAGACCTTGCGTCTTTATTTAGAAGCGCCGACTGCTCTTGCCGGGAGCCGGATCGGCACCGGCGCAGCAGGTTCAGTTGGTAGAGGGTCTGCGGAGGAGGAAGAGAGCGCGGTAAGGAGAGGGGAAGACCACGGTAAGGAGAAGGGCGGCCACACGCAGTTCCCCAACACCCGGTAGGGACGGAGCGTGCGCCACGCCCCAATCCTCCGAGCCACCCCCCGGCACTTACTTGGCCCACTCCACGTTGAGGATCAGGTGGTCGTAGCCGAATCCAGAGACGCCGGCAATAGCCCGGGCCGCGTCCTCCCGGCGGTGGAAGCTGATGAAGGCGAAACCCTGGGGTGGGAGGAAAGGGAAAGGGTGAGAAGAAGTGTGGGGGGGGGTCTCCTCGCCACGCCCCAATCCTCCGAGCCACCCCCCGGCACTTACTTGGCCCACTCCACGTTGAGGATCAGGTGGTCGTAGCCGAATCCAGAGACGCCGGCAATAGCCCGGGCCGCGTCCTCCCGGCGGTGGAAGCTGATGAAGGCGAAACCCTGGGGTGGGAGGAAAGGGAAAGGGTGAGAAGAAGTGTGGGGGGGGGTCTCCTCAGCCCCCCCTAAAGGGGAAAATCCCTCCATGCCCACCTTGGACTGCCCGGTGGTCTTGTCCTTGGCTAAATAGATCCTAGAGATGGAGCCGAAAGGCCGGAACAGCTCCTGGAGATCAGTCTCACGCGTGTCCTCAGACAGGTTGGTGACACGGATGGTGGCATTGTCATCGGCTGAGGGGAGGAGGGGGAAGGACGCGGAAGGTCAAGGCTGCCGGCAGGACCGCGGCCAGAGCCAGCAAGGCGCCGTACACGGCACCGCGGAGGCGCGGCTTCACACGCAGCCGAGGCCCGGGGCGGGCGGGGAGCGGGGAGGTTGCCCTTAACCCCGAGGACGGGCCTGACTTACCCCTGCGGTTGGGCTGCATGGACTCCCCGCGGCGGCTGGCTCCGTCTCTCAGGCTGGGGGGGACGTACTTGCCCGTCTTGCTCTGCTGAGACTGCACCGGCTCCGGCTCTGAGGGCAGGAAAGGCGACAGGCAGGAGGTGAGGCTGCCCGCAGCCGCAGGCAGACAGCGACTCCCCCCCCCCCCACAATAAAGGGGTGCCGTACCTCCGGGCAGCTTTTCCTTCTCGCCTGTGGACAGCCCCAACTGCTCGGCCAACTCCTTCTGCATCGGCCCCAAGGTGTCCTTGTAGGGACAGCGGGTGGTCCAGTGGTCACCCTTGCAGATACGGCACGAGACGATCTTCTGCCCCTTCAACTTGTTCATGGGATCCTCTTCCTCCTGGCAGTTCAGGTCCTGGGGGACAGGGAGACTCCTGAGTCCCACGGGACCCACCGCGCGCCCGGGCACGGCCTCACCGGGGGCTCCCCCGCTGGCCCGCGAGCTCCCACCGTGCCCGGACCCACCTCCTTGCTGGTGATGAAGGTCATGAAGACGTCGTCGCTCACGGTGGTGGTGGCCACGTTCGGTCCGGGGGCGTCGAACTCCGAGTTGCCAAATTTCTTCCAGTTCTGAGGAGAAAATGGGGGGGGGAGCAGGGGGGAAACGGGGGCCCGCTCGCACGACGCGTCTCTAAGCGGTTGCCGAACACAGAGCAGGAGCAGCCAGCGGGAAGGGAAACGTTCCCCACTGAGGGATCGTTGGGAGCTTGGGAAGGAACGGGCAGAAGCGGAGGGC